GGGCCCCGCCGCCGCCCGCCCGCCGCGCCGCGCCGCACACACACGCACCACACGCACCGCGGCGGCCCCGTCACAGCAAAGCAGCGGCGGGCGCGGGGCCGCGCCCCGGGACGGGCCCCCGTTCCAGCCCCTGCGTCTTCAGCTCCAGCGGCTCTGCCGGCGGCTCGGGCGGCGGCTCGGCGACAGCGGTGACGGCGGCGGCGGCGGGGACGGTGACGGCGGGCGGCTCTCCCTTGAGGGCGGCCAGGCGCTCGGCCAGGCTGCGCGGCCGCGGGCACAGCGCGAACTCGTACAGCACCGCGCCCAGCGCCGCGCCCAGCAGCGGGCCCGCCCAGTACACCTGCGGGGGGGCGGCGTGGGCACCGGCACCCGGGGGGCCCGGGCCCCCCGCCCCCCGAGGCACGGCCCCCTTACCGCCGACCCCCGGGGCCGCGGGCACCCGGTGAGCGGGGGGGCGGCCGCGTGTCCCGCCCCCGGCATATCGGGGGGAGGGGGCAGGACCTGCCTCCCGGTGAGCAGCGAGCGGCCGCATCCCCGCCAGGATATCGGGGGGCAACAGCTCTGGGGGTCCACCAACACCCCGGGGCGCTGCCGTCACCGCGGTGACACCGACAGCCGCCCGGCGGGGACACGGGGGCTGGGGCAGGGTGGGGACAAGCAGGGAGGGACTGGGGGGGGCCCGGGGCGGGTCTGGGGGTCCCCGTCCCCCCCACTTACCCAGTGGTTGGTGAAGTCGCGGGTGATGACGGCGGGGGCGAAGGAGCGAGCGGGGTTCATGCCGGCGCCCGTGTAGTGGATCTGCGGGAGAACGGGGCGCTGGGGGGCTGGACAGCAGCCCCCCGGGTCTCGCTCAGCCCCCGGGGTCCAGGCAGGGGGGTTCCCGCGGCCGCCCTTACCCCGAAGAGGTGGCCGAGGGCGAGGGAGAAGCCGACGGGCACGGCGGCCATGCCCGGGCGCCCGTCGTGACGGTCGTCGAAGCTGGCGAAGACGCAGAGGACGAACTGGGCTGTCAGGAGCACCTCCACCACCGTGCCCTGGCCTGGGCCCACGCCGGGGTGAAGCTACACGGGGAGGGGGGCTAAACATCCTGCAGAGATGCTTCCCCGATCCCCCCAGCACCCCAATCCCCCCCTCGTTATCCCTCCACACCCCCCAACCCCACTGTACCCCAAATCCCTTCTTGCCCCAAACCCCTCCCAGACACCCAGCCCCCATTACTGTGCCACACCACCCCGAAACCAAAAACACCTCTTGGACC